AATTGCTATACGAGTCAACCGATCCGCCATTCTCAACCTCTACTCGCCGGGGAAAAACACGACAGTTTTACAATCCAGTTCAACTTCTAGATAAAGAACAATCAGATCAGTAGAAATGCTCAAATCAGTGGCTTCAACGTTGGCGAGACACAGACTATGTACTTTTTCCCTGTCTTCCTGTAACCGGAAAATATGGCGGACTATTGTGAAAAGGAAAACTTCTCGATAACCTCCTTTTCTTGGCTCGCCGGAATTCATAGCTTTGCTCCTGCATGCATGTGATACACGAGGGGGAAAGAGGCGGCGGATGATCAGAAAACTGAAAACAGCTTGGGGACAGAGAGGAGGGTTTTGGTGGGCTGGCGGGGAGGTAATCTGGGTTTGGGCCCAAGGCCCTATTCTTCATTTTTATTTGTATTTGTATTAACCTCGATGTAAAGAGTTCAAATTTAATAGTTTATTTTGATTTTTTGATTTTTTATATAAATTTAATATAATATATAAATAATAATTAAATTTTTTATCAAATAAAAGAACTACATTTAAGAAAAAAAGATTTTTTAATTATTATTTATATAAATTGTTAAATTTTTATCTAAAATTTATGTAAAAAAATTTAAAGTTAAACTATTAAAATTAAACGAAATGAGTAAATAATTTTAATTACTAATAATTTTTTCCTTTTTTAATTTAATTTAATTTAATTATTAATATACATTTCATGGGGTTTGGGCAAGGCATGCAAAGGAGAATATTCTAAGCAATGCTAACAATCTTGCTTGACTAGACCTCTTTGTGGCAACTTGACTAAGCAATATTCCCACGGTTGCTATAGGAGATACCTTCTGAAATGGGTTGACATGTCTGTTGGACCTATTTTGTTCATTGTATTTTTAAACCGAATTTCATCTGTTCTCAAACTTACTAATGTGTAGAGAGAATATCAAACATGCTGTCACAATATACAAACGTTCTTTCACCGTTAAAGTCTCTAATCCAGTGGAAATCAGTTGATTGTTTTGTAGATTTGTGTCCTTA